GTTAATATCAGATACGTAATGTGGGTTCCAGACTGATGACCTGTATTCGAGTATTGGTCTAGCAAATGTTTTGTATGCTCTAGTTATTAGTGTGATATTACCAGAGAAAAAGCTATGTAAGATTAGGTTAACAACTCTTAATGCCTTTTTGGCTATGTAGTTACAGTGGGCTCTAGCACTTAGATCATTAGAGATGAGTACTCCAAGATCCTTGACAGTTTGGATCATCAACAAGGTCTTGACTATTCAGCCTGTATCTTATTTTTTGTTTTGTTTTTCCAATATGTAGGACAGAGCATTTATTTGTTGAGATTTGAAGTTGCCATTTGTTTGACTATTCTGATACATAGTCAAGGTCTTTTTGAAGGGTAGCAGTATTGTCTGTGGTGTTGAATAGCTTTACATTGTCAGCGAAGACGACGCAGTTGCTCTTAATATGATCAGAGGTCATTTATGTGCAATCCTCTTGAAAATATGGATGCGTTCATCGGACACATGGAAAAATTTGGAGTGAGATGGAAAGAGTCCTATGGCAGGCATCCAGCCAGTAAATCTGTTTATATACTAGTTTGATACCTGTTCTTCGCTACAAAACTATGTGGTCGGCCTTAGTTTTTTGGGAAAAAATTCTGTCTCTGCCTACCAGTATCCATCAGTATTCATCTGGCTAGCGTCCTGTCAGTAAGTCAAGAGTTGAAGGCTGTTTGGAAACTGAAACAGTATTAGCTGTGTGAGCAGGAGACAGCAAGGAGCCTGGGTGTGGCTTAGCTCAACTGTTCAGTGCTAAAGCTGCTTGGTGCTGTGAAACTAACAAACTACTCTGCTTGTGTTTTGCATTTGGAGGAATTTCTTTTCAGGGGGGAGGGGGAGTAAAACTCCTTAGCATCAGATAATAATAATAATAATTATAATAATAATAATAATATAGGAAATACTAATGCTCTGATGGTAATTTTGAAAAATCCTTTCTTAGTGAGAACCTAGAAGCCAAGAACATGTGCCAAATTTCAAGTTTGTAGGCTTTGCAGTTCTGGAGATTTTGTGATGATGCGTCAGTGGTATTTCGCTTTTAGATATATAGATTATTAATATATAATAAATAAATGGTTTGGGATTCTTTCAGGCTAGTTTATTTTTCCTCTCTGTTGTCTATATCAGTGGTCGCCAACCAGTGGGCCAGGGACCACTGGTGGTCCACGAGAAAATTTTATGGTCTGCAGAGAAATGTCACCACCAAAGCACCCCCACCAAAGCAATTAATCCAGGCTGCGTGGGAACACAAGGCCTGTGTCGCTTGCATTGTGAACAACACAAGATAGTGAGGGGAAGGGGGAAAGGGCGGAGGGGGAAAACTTGCCCCACTCGCCCCACACACCTCACCTGGCCACCAGGCTGCTTCTTTCTGCTTTTGGCTGCAAGGAAAGCAGCAAAAGTCTTTCTCTCCCCCAAACTCTGCCAGAAATGAGTCTTTGTGACCCTGCAAGGCATCCTGCTCCAAGAGGCTGCACCATTCTGGTGGAGTTTGGGGGAGAGAAAGAAAGACTTCTGCTGCTTCTGCTGTTTTTTCTTGCATAAAGCCAAAAGTCTTTCTCTCTCTCTCTCTCCCCCTGAGAATGGAGCTGGAGACGGTATCCTGCGATCCCAAATAAAGAACTGATTGGTACAAAAATGGGGTGGGGAATTTTCCTGCACTTTTTGGAGGATTTTCCCAGGGTCTCTGGTCCGTGGAATTTAAAATTATGAGTTTGGTGGTCCCTGAGGTCCAAAAAGTTGGTGACCCCTGGTCTATATTCCTCAATGACTCTCTTTTTTCTACAGAGTATATGTATGCTTCATATCTTTTTAGTTGCTATTTCTGTTCTGTTGAAGTCCTGGCATTTTATTCAGCTCTTCTGCTTGATGTTTCTTGGTTGATTGATTCTTAAAAAGTTGATCTGATTTCCAGGGGCTGCACTACATTAAAACTGACCTCCTGAAGTTGGTTTATCCCCCTAGGTCAGGGGTGTCAAACTCAAGGCCCATGGGCTGGATCCAGCCTATGGGGTGCTTAGATCTGGCCTGTGGGGCCACCCTGGAAACAGCGGACTAGACCACGGTGCCTCTGCCAGCAAAAACGGAGCTCGGGAGGGCCTTGCACGGCCCTCCCAAGTTCTGTTTTAGGCTGCAACAGCCTCCTGCAACTCTCTGCCAGCGAAAACAGAGCTCGGACCACCACAGGTGCCACAACATGAGTGACGTCAAGCTGGCCATGCCCATCTGGCCATGTCCACCTGGACCCCCAAGGTCAAACAAAAACCTGATGCGGCCTGCAATGAACACTCTGATCACTGCATGATTCACCTTGTACCTGCCTACAGACAAAGACTTAAAACCATGAAACCAACAATTAAATCAGTGAGGACTTGGTCTCCAGGCTTGCCTTGATTGCACTGATTGGAATGTTTTTGAAGATAACTCTGCAGACCTAGATGAGCTCACAGATACTGTAATACCATATGTCAGCTTCTACAAAGACTTAGTTTACTTTATTGTCATTGCACCTTGCACAATGAAATCAAACACCATCTTCAATGCACATCGTGACCATGACCATGAAAATAAACACAAACACACATCCTTCATCCTTCACACATTGAACTGGAAACCCCCGACACTACACCAACACTGCACTATACAGCAGAATTCAAAAGAGCTGCTGCCCTGGGATAGAAGCTGTTTTTCAGGCTGTTTGTCCTTGTTTTTATTCTGTACTGTCTGCCAGATGGTAATAGTTCAAAAAAAGGGTTCCCAGGATGAGATGGATCTTTGAGAATGTTTTGAACTTTCTTAAGGCAGCGGGAACTATAAAGCTCTTCCAAAGAAGGGAGAGGGCAACGAATAATCTTCTGGGAAATGCCATTAATACACATTATATGTACCAACAAGGAACCTACAAATATATAGTAACAATAAACCTTGGTTCACAGCTAAATTTAAGCAGCTACCTTGTTCCAAAGAGGAAGTCTACAGAAAAGGTGATAGAATGCTATACAATCAGGCCAGGAACATATTAATAAGAGACATCAGAGCAGCAAAGAGAAACTACTCTGAAAAGTTAAAGAATCAATTCTCAACAAATGAACCAGCAAACATGTGGAAAACTCTTAAAAACATCACTGGCTTCAGCAAACCTCCTTCCCAGGCAGAAGAAAATCAACAACTAGCAACCCTCCCATACTACCACCTCTTACAATACTAGACAACACAGTGTCAACAGTAGACCTTCACATTTCCAGTTTCTATCATATCACAAGACCTAAAATGGATGCCTAACATCAAAAACATCATCAAAAAAGCCCAACAAAGAATGTTCTTTCTGCGCCAACTCAGAAAGTTCAAACTGCCCAAGGAGCTGCTGATCCAGTTCTACAGAGGAATTATTGAGCCTATCATTTGCACCTCTATAACTGGTTTGGTTCTGCAACCCAATAGAACAGACACAGACTTCAGAGGATAATTAGGACTGCAGAAAAAACAATTATTACCAACCTGTCTTCAATCGAGGACCTGTATACTGCAGGAGTCAAAAAGAGGGCTGTGAAACTATTTACAGAACCCTCACATCCCGGACATAAACTGCTTCAACTCCTACCCTCAAAACGACACTATAGAGCACTGCACACCAGAACAACTAGACACAACAGTTTTTCCCCAAATGCCATCACTCTGCTAAACAAATAATTCCCTCAACACTGTCCAACTGTTTACAAAGTCTCCACTGCTATTACTATTAATCTTATCACTCCTTATCACCCATCCCCTCCCACTTGTGACTGTATGACTATAACTTTGATGCTTGTATCCTTACGATTTATATGCATTGTTTCCTAGTATGATTTGATTGTTTATTATACCCTAGGACTATTATTAAGTGTTGCACCTTATGATTCCTGAGTCTTAACAAATGTATCTTTTATGTATACAGAGAGCATTTGCATCAAGACAAATTCCTTGTGTGTCCAATCACACATGGCCAATAAAAGAATTCTAATGAAATCGAGTTTGACAACCCTGCCCTAGGTGGACTCACATTTGAGGCTCCTTATCGCTAGCCATGACGACAACTGGGTCAGATAATAAAAAAAGAATACCCTGAAGGAGATAGCGGGAGAACTACATGTCATTAGAGTTTATTGATTCTAAGAGTATAAACAGTTTCTTTTCCAAAATGTGTTAGGAAGCTCAAGTGGTTGTTAATTATCTTGGCAACTGCTCAAAAGGAAGTATTTTGGGGGCTGATCTCACCCCTTCCAACTTCTGGTCAGAAGATAAAAGGAAATCACAATATTTCTTTAGCTAAAGGGAAGAAAAACTAGCACTATTTTGTATGAATTAACATCTGTAGTTTGAAATCCTTTCTAAAATTGGTAAAGTTATGCAATTTCAGATACACACTTGACATCAGAAGACAAGATAGGAAGATCTGCACACAGATTAGAGAACAAATGAAAATATACAATGCCTTCAAGAGGAAAATAAATTGACATAGAAATGGGCTGGTTACATAGCAAATAGAACTGCACTAACACAGTCATAGATGCGGACTCTTTCATGACGAGCAAGATCTCTGTTCCAGTTAAAGCTTTTTCCACACACCAAGCATTTATATGGTCTATCCTCCAAGTGGGTTCTTTTGTGAGAATAAAAATTTCCTATCCAAGAAAAGCTCTCTCCACACTCAGTGCATTTATATATCTCCTGTGTGAATCCTTTGGTGTTCAGTAAGACATACTTTACAAGCAAAACTCTTTTCACACTCCAATCATTTATATGGTTTCTCCTCTGTGTGGATCCTTTGATGAGATTTAAGATGTGCTGTTTGAGTAAAGCTTTTTCCACACTCCACACACTTGTATGATCTCTCCCCAGTGTGAATCCTTTTATGAGAATTAAGATGTACTGTTTGAGCAAAGCTTTTTCCACACTCTGTACATTTATATGGTCTCTCACCGGTATGGATCCTTTTATGAGAATTAAGATGTGCTTTTCGAGCAAAGTTTTTTCCACACTCCATGCACTTGTATGGTTTCTCCCCAGTGTGAATCCTTTCATGATGTATTAAATTGCTGCCACAACTAAAGCTTTTCCCACATTCTAAGCATCTATATGGTCTCTCCCCTGTGTGGATCCTTTTATGAGTATTAAGATGTACTGTTTGAGCAAAACTCTTTCCACACTCCAAGCATGTATATGGTCTCTCCCCAGTATGGATCCTTTCATGACGAGTAAGATTATTTCTCCAGTTAAAGCTTTTTCCACACTCCAAGCATTTATGTGGTCTTTCCCCTGTGTGCATCCTTTGGTGGAAAGTAAGGCGCCAGCTGTCAATGAACCTCTTTCCACACTCCATGCATTTATATGGTTTCTCCTCAGTGTGGATCTTTTTATGAGAATTAAGTTTTCCTTTCTGAATGAAGCTCTTTCCACACTCCATGCATTTATATGGTTTCTCCTCAGTGTGAATCCTTTCATGACGAACAAGACCTTTACTCCAGTTAAAGCTTTTTCCACACTCCATGCATTTGTATGGTCTCTCCCCAGTGTGGATCTTTTTATGAGAATTAAGTGTTCCTTTCTGAGTGAAGCTCTTCCCACATTCCAGGCAAATATATGGTCTGTGCCCTGTGTGGATCCTTTTAGGACAAATCATCTGTGTTTTCTGACAAAAACTTTTTTCATGTTCTGGACCTTTACATAGCTTCTCATCTATGTGGCTCCCCTGATGGCAATGAAGTTTACTCTTGCTACTGAAGCTCTTTCCACAGTTCATGCATAGTTTCATCTTTTTGCTTAGGCTGTCATGTTTTACAGTCCTTTGAGGTTTATGTTCCCTATTCAATATATTAGGTATAGTAAAAGAGAAGGAATGGCTCTCTGCAGATACTCCTCTTTGCCGTTTCAATAACCTCTGCTGCTTGTCCTTCTTATTCTCTAGCCCATTCCAATCACAATCACCTGCTTAGAACAAAAGAAAACATAAATTCTCATTAGAACTTATAAGGATGGAAAAGGGGGGGGGGTGTCTCCCCAATGAAAAATATGCCCATCAGGTTTGGCACCAGCTATGTGTCAGCTAGGAGATGGTGGGTGCAAATTGTTATTCAGGTAACTCTAAGGGCACCCAAAGGCACCCAAAGCAAAAGGGGTCCTTACTTAGTGAAGCTATATTTGCAGAAACATCCAGCATGACTTCCCTGCACAAGGCTTTCTGGCCAGAATTCAGCAGTGCCCATTCCTCCTCTGTGAATTCCACAGCCACCTCTTCAAAGGGAACACTGCTCTGGAAAGGAAACATCATCTTCATTAGTAGATAATCCTCTTTTGTTTTCTTTCTTATTTCCAAACAGAAAATGGAGCTTTCCAAGAAATCAAATGGACACTTTCTTATAGGACAGGCATAAGTTATGCAGGTCACAACGTCCTTAAAGCTGGGAAGCCACCCTCTACCTCCTTCATGCTGTTGTTGTAAACATGGCTTAGATATATCCAAATGGTAGAATGATACTCCCTGGGGTCATATCCCACCCCCACAGCCTGGAATAACTCACAAGGAGGTTTTGGGCAGAGTATCATCTCCCTGGCTCAGCAAAATACAAATTTGTTACAAAACAGAGTATACCTACTAAGAATTTTTTACCTGGTCTGTTTCAAAATGTTGTAAATGACTCTGGAAATATCAACTCACTTGACCAACAGTCTTATCTGTCAGCTTTAGGGATTTTTATGTGAGAAATTTGTCCTTCCCATAAATTACTTTTAAGTGGATATATTGGTCTATATGTGGGATTGATATTGTTTCGCTTTATGGGTTCTACTTTATAACTGCTTTTCCGACATCTTTAGAAAAATGTTAAGAAAGATTAAAGTTTTCCAATATATAAATTAAACTTCCTAATACAAGACTCTTGAGAATTGTCCTTTGTTTTTCCCCCCAGAACAATTTTGAAAGTTAAATGAGACTCACTGGAACATTCTGTGGAGACACCAGGTTCAAATGCACACAGACTCAGCATTTAGTTTTCAAAGTGGCTCAGAGTTTGAACTTTTCACAAGAAACCCATTTACCTGGCAAGATGTCCCCAGTTGGGTCATCCTGGAAAAAAGCTCTCCTGAATTACTTGATTGATCTCGTCCCTGGTGCCCTGCTGAGATTTCCCCCATATATGGCTCCTGCAACTGAAATAATAGCCTGCTTTATGATCCACTTTCAAATGACTGTAACCATGTTAGCTCTCTTGCATTACTTTTTTTCTCTCCAATTGTAGTTTTGCAAGTCAAAATGGGAGAACTTGAGAACTCCTGCTTTGTGGGTTGCTGTTATTTCTGGATAAACGCCTGCCATTTTTGTGAAATATTTCATTGCTTCTTTATTTCCTATTTTCCTTCGAGGTAGCCCAGATAAGAACCACAACAATGAAGATTAGCTCTATCTTCAGTATAAAGCAAGGGTCTTCAAACTTCTCAAGTTTAAGACTTGTGGACTTCAACTCTCAGAATTCCTGAGCTAACCTGACTGGAGGAGGAAGTGTGGGAGTTGAAGTCCACAGGTCTTAAAGCTGTCAAGTTTCAAGACCTCTGGTATAAAGTCACATTAATAGAATATTTCAATTCCCAAAATAGTTTTTCCCATCCTCTCCTTTTAAGTATAGTATAGTATAAGTTTTTATTGTTATTGTACATAATATATACAACGAAATTGATTTAGTCTCTCCATAACAGAAAATACAAATCTACATAAATAGTATAGAGAATAAATCCTATACAAGTAATTGGGGAAAAAAGACTAGTCAGTATCCGCTAGTTGCAGCAAAAGTAGCAAAGGTTTTTATCATTTTTTCCCACCTATCTATCACCATGTGGGAATTGAGACGATCTTTTAAATTATGACTGTCCAGTCTATGACTTCACATCCTGCAAAGTTATTCCCAGGTACAATTACACAACCCCAACACGTTTTGTTTTAATGTTTTTTTTTTCCTTGCGATTATCTGCCAAGGAAGAGAGACAAGAGGCGTAGAAGAGGACGAAAGTGCCTCACCTGTCGCCCCTTTCCGGGCTCCGGGGCGGCTGCGGGGCCGAGGAGGCAGCCTTCGGCCAGGGCCACCGCCTGGGCGCAGCTCTCCGCCCCGCACTCCCTCAGCCAGCTCGACAGCTCCGGGGGCAGCAGGGCCAGCAGCTGCTCCAGCACCACCAGGTCCAGCATCTCGGCTTTGCTGCTCCGCTCGGGCCGCAGCCACCCCAGGCACAGCCGGTGCAGGCGACTGCAAAGCGCCCGGGGCCCCTCGGCCTTCCGGGAGATGCAGTTGCGGAAGCGCCAGCGCTCAGCCTCGGAGCAGCCGCTCCCCGCCTGAACGGTAGACTCCTGGGCTTCCATTGGGTCTCCGGCTTCAAGCGCAACCCCGACCGGGAAAAAACTCCCTCCGGGGCCGCCTTCGGTCACAGCGGACCCTCCCCCACCCAGTCGCCCCGCCCCTTTCCCGGTTTCACGGGGGTTTGAAGGGGGCGGGCTCCGCTCCCTCAGGGCTTCTGAGGCTGAGGAGAGTAGCTGCAAATCCTTCCCGCCAAAACTTCCCGCGCCTTCCTGGTCTCCCTCACTCTGTCAGCCGAAGAGTGTTGTTTCGTAGAGAGGGAAACCCTTATAAGCGCCCCACCCTCCCATTTACTGCTCTTGGCTACAGCGTCTCTTAGGGCAACTATGACCTCTCCTGTCCTGTGCTCGGCATCGAGGGCTGACAAAGGTTCTCTGCGCATGCTCTGCTCCCTACCGACGGTTAAAGGACGCCCTAGTTCGCCTCATGGTGAAACGTTTCCTCGAGAGCGGCAGGGGATGCAAGCGGGGGGGCGGGGGAGGGCTCTAGGGGTCCGAGAATGATGGGTGCGGTGAAAATTGAGCTGGGCTGAAATGAGCGAAGCGCCTTTGGATATAACCTGGTTTGATTGCTGTTTCTGGCCCCCTGGGACTTCTCTTTCTCCCACAATCTTATGTAATCCTATGTATGGTATATAAAATCATACATTGCAATGACTTACCTGTCAATGAATACTTCAGCTTCAACCATAACAACACAAGAGCACACAACAGATACAAACAAGGTTAACCGCACCAAACTTGATTGCAGGAAATACGATTTCAGCAACAGAGTGGTCAGTGTCTGGAATATTCTACCTGACTCTGATTTCTTCCCCAAACCCCAAAAACTTTAACCTTAGACTGTCTACTATTGACCTCACTCACCTCTTTCCTAAGAGGCCTGTAGGGGGCATGCATAAGCGCACCAACGCGGTCCCTGTCCTATTGTTTCTTTTTATTTTTCTTATATGTACCCATTTCGTGTATTCATAACTCAGTATATACTTATACCTATTATTTTGTAAGCATTGACCAATCAAATAAATAAATAAATAAGAATCCTCTTCGAAATGTGGATGTGTTCATGGAACAGGTGGAAGAAGGGGAGGGAGATGAAATGGATGATGCATCCAATGTGGGGAAAGGAAAGATTGCAGGGAAGCCATACACAGGGACATTTATTATGAAATAAACATGCAAACAGTAATGCTTTGGGAGTTCCTTCACAGCTGTTTATTTGTCCTGTTATCTGTATTCCTGTAGTGGCGCCCAATGAAGGGACACCCAAAGGTGCTTGTTCAAAAGACAACCGGACTCTGAGTTTGCTTGAAGATGGTTTAGCTTCTTATCCGAGAAGCATCTTCAGTTCTCGGCCTTCTTGGATGAGAAATGAAACGTCTTCAAGCAAAAATGAAGTCCAGTTGCCTTTTGAAAGATGACCTTGGAGCAACCATGACCTGGATAAGGGGTCCCCAACCTCCTAGGGCCATGGCCCACTATCATTAATTTAGCTATTTGGAACTGGGCCACAGAAACGATGGGCGAGTGTGCTCATGCACCTTCAGATCTCCACTTACACAATCAGCAGGTGAGTGCAAAGGGAGCTGTTCATGAGCTTCCCCACTTGGCTTGCAGAACCTTCCCAGCACCACTGGGCCATTAAGTGGGAAAGGTTGGGGAACCTCTGCACTGGATAGAGAATCTCCATAGATCATGGGTGTCAAATTCAAGGCCTGGGGACTGGATCCAACCTGCGGGGTGCTTAGATCTGATCTGTGGAGCCACCCTGGAAATAGCAACAGTCTAGCCCGTGGTACCATTGTCAGCAAAAACAGCTTTTAAAAAATCTTGGCCTGTATTTTTACCCCGTTATTTGCAAAGCAGCCCAAGTTTCAACCTCACCCCCCAGCAAACACAACCCTGATGTGGCCCTCAATGAAATCGAGTTTGACACACACACCTCCAATAGAATCTGAGAAGGAATCCTTTTCTTACAAAGTATAAGGCTGAGCCCCAAAGCCCAAAATTGACATATTTGTAGCCTTTTTACATATTCTTTCTCTTTGCTGTTTATGGGGGGAAAGGTTTCAGGCTTGCCAGATTCCTAAGGTGGGAGGAATGGAGATAGAGTTGTTTAGGCTAGGTGGTGTTTCTTCCTGTGGGAACAAAAGCTGACCTTGCTGAGACCTGAAGGTGAAGATTTATGACACCAGGCAACGTTGATTTACTTCTATTGGAGAATATGACTTTTAGGGGTTGTTTCTAACTTGCAATATTATGTGGTGTAATTCCGGGTTGTGTCAGATCCGGAATTACAACAGACCTTGCCAATTCGATGCTATTCTAAATAAAAGAAATTATTATGGAAGATGGAGTTCGTTCTTTTCTTTTTGAATGGGTTTCATCACTTGGAAACCTGACAATTGAGGCTTTTCAACTCTGGTGCTGGAGAAGACTCCTCCGAGTCCCTTGGACCGCAAGGCCATCAAACCCGTCAGTCCTAGAGATCAACCCTGACTGCTTCTTAGAAGACCAGATCCTGAAGATGAAACTCAAATACTTTGGCCACCTAATGAGAAGGAAGGAATCACTGAAAGAGCCTAATGCTGGAGAAGATTGAGGGCAATAGAATGGGATGACAGAGAATGAGGTGGCTGGATGGAGTCACTGAAGCACTAGCAGGAAGGTCTGGAGGAACGTTGTCCATAGGATTGTGGGGGATTGGACACGACTTCACAACTAACAACAAAAAATAATCTCCCCTATACCTTTTCTGTTTTACATCTATTTCTGTTCTGTTCAAAGTCTTTTTGTTCATCTTTGTGCTTGATCTTTCCAGGCTGGTGGATTCTTGTAGAATTAATCTGGTTTCAAGGGATTGTGTTACATTAAAAAAAAACCCAGAAATTAACCTCCAGAAGTAGGTTTGTCCCCTAGAGCAGTGGTTGCCAACCAGTGGGCCAGGGACCATTGGTGGTCCATGAGAAAATTTTGGTGCTCCAGAGAAATGTCACCCCCAAATGCAGGATGCGTGGAACACAAATGGCCCATGGGAACACAAGGCTTGCGTTGCTTGCATTGCGAACATGAGGTAGTAAGGGGAGGGGTGAAAGGGTGGAGGGGGGAACTTGCCCCATTCGCCCCACATGCCTCGTCTGGCCACCGGGCTGCTTCTTTCTTCTTCTGCTTTTGGCTGCACTCAAGGAAAGTAGCAAACATCTTTCTTTTTCTCCCCCAAACTCTACCAGAAATGAGTCTTTGGCACCCTGCACGGCACGCTGCTCCAAGAGGTTGCATGGCGTGACAAGTCTCACACAGACTCATTTCTGGTGGAGTTTGGGGGAGAGAAAGACTTCTGCTGCTTTCCTTGCATGAAGCCGAAAGTCTCTCTCTTTCTCCTCCTGAGAACGGAGCTGGAGACGGTATCCTGCGACCCCAAATAAAGAATGATCAATCGGTAGGAAAACGGGGTGGGAAATTTTCCTGCAGACTTTTTTTGGGGGATTTTCCCAGGGTCTCTGGTCCACGGGATTTAAAATTATGAGTTTGGTGGTCCCCAAGGTCCAAAAGGTTGACGACCCCTGCCCTAGAGGGACTCAAATATGAGGCTCAGTATTGTTGATCATGTTCACAGGATGATAGTAAAAGAATACACAGAAGGAGATTGTAGGATAATTGCAGATCAATTCATTAAGCGTTTATTAAAGTTCCAAACTGTAAGAGTATAAGATGATTCTTACTCAAAATACACTGCTCAAAAAAATAAAGGGAACACAAAAATAAGACATCCTAGATCTGAATGAATGAAATATTCTTATTAAATACTTTGTTCATTAGATAGTTGAATGTGCTGACAACAAAATCACACAAAAATTATCAATGGAAATCAAATTTAACAACCCATTGAGGTCTGGATTTGGAGTTACACTCAAAATTTAAGTGGAAAAAAACACTACAGGCTGATCCAACTTTGATGTAATGTCCTTAAAACAAGTCAAAATGAGGCTCAGTAGTGTGTGTGGCCTCCACGTTCCTGTATGACCTCCCTACAATGCCTGGGCATGCTCCTGATGAGGTGGCAGATGGTCTCTTGAGGGATCTACTCCCACACCTGGCTAAAGCATCCCCCAATTCCTGGACAGTCTGTGGTGCAATGTGGCATTGGTGGATGGAGCGAGACATGATGTCCCAAATGTGCTCAATTGGATTCAGGTCTGGGGAACGGGCGGGCCAGTCCATAGCATCAATGCCTTCATCTTGCAGGAACTGCTGACACACTCCAGCCACATGAGGTCTAGCATTGTCTTACATTAGGAGGAACCCAGGGCCAACCACACCAGCATATGGTCTCACAAGGGACCTGAGGATCTCATCTCAGTACCTAATGGGAGTCAGGCTACCTCTGGCGAGCACATGGAGGGCTGTCCGACCCCCTAAAGAAATGCCACCCCACACTATTACTGACCCACTGCCAAACTGGTCACGCTGGAGGATGTTGCAGGCAGCAGAAGGTTCTCCATGGCGTCTCCAGACCCTGTCACGTCTGTCACATGTGCTCAGTGTGAACCTGCTTTCATCTTTGAAGAGCATAGGGCGCCAGTGGCGAATTTGCCAATCTTGGTGTTCTCTGGCAAATGCCAAATGTCCTTCATGGTGTTGGGCTGTAAGCACAACCCCCACCTGTGGACATCGGGCCCTCATACCACCCTCATGGAGTCTGTTTCTGAATGTTTGAGCAGCCACATGCACATTTGTGGCCTACTGGAGGTCATTTTGCAGGGCTTTGGCAGTCCTCTTCCTGTCCCTCCTTGCACAAAGGCGGAGGTAGTGGTCCTGATGCTGGGTTGTTGCCGTCCTGTGGCCTCCTCCATGTCTCCTGATGTACTGGCCTGTCTTTTGGTAGCGCCTCCATGCTCTGGACACTATGCTGACGCAGCAAACCTTCTTGCCACAGCTCGCATTGATGTGCCATCCTGGATGAGCTGCACTACCTGAGCCACTTGTGTGGGTTGTACACTGTCTCATGCTACCACTAGAGTGAAAGCACCGCCAGCATTCAAAAGTGACCAAACCATCAGCCAGAAAGCATAGGAACTGAGAAGTGGTCTGTGGTCACCACCTGCAGAACCACTCCTTTATTGGGGATGTCTTGCTAACTGACTATGCTTTCCACCTGTTGTCTACTCCATTTGCACAACAGCATGTGAAATTGATTGTCAATCAGTGTTGCTACCTAAGTGGACAGTTTGATTTCACAGAAGTGTGATTGACTTGGAGTTACACCGTGTTGTTTAAGTGTTCCCTTTATTTTTTTGAGCAGTGTATGTTGGGAAACTGAAATAGTGAGGAATAATTGCCTCGGCAACTGTTCAAAGTTTCCTATCTGGATGTGATCTCACTCCTTGGTCTGATAAAGATAAAAAATGAAAACATTTAGAAAAATCTTAAGAGGAAAGAAAAGACTATGACCATTTTGTGGGAATTAACATAACTCTGTAGGTTGAAATGCTTTCTAAATTTCATAAATTCACGTGAATTCTAATTTATAGAGGTTTTTAGATAAATTAAGAGGAAAGCCAAGGATGCAGTTTGTTAATTTCCACACTCCATGCATTTATATGGCCTCTCCCCAGTGTGGATTGTCATGAAAATTAAGTTGTCCTTTCTGAGCAAAGCTCTTTCCATTCTGTACATTGAAATGGTTTCTCCCCTGTATGGATTTTTTCATGACTTAGAAGATCACTTTTCTGAGTAAACCCTTTTCCACACTGTATGCATATATATGGTCTCTCCCCAGTGTGGATCCTTTCATGACGGATAATATCGCTGTTCCAATGAAAGCTTTTTCCACACTCCTTGTATTTATACTGTTTTTCCTCCCTATGCATCCTTTGGTGGAAAGTAAGGTGCCATTTGTTAATAAAACTCTTTCCACAATCCAAGCATTTATATGTTTTTTCCACTGTTGTGGATCCTTTTATGAGAATTAAGATGAGCTCTTTGAGCAAAGCTTTTTCCGCACACTGTGCATTTATATGGTTTCTTCTTTGTGTGGCTCCTTTTATGAGAATTAAGATGTACTGTTTGAGCAAAGCTTTTTCCACATTCCGTGCACTTGTATGGTTTCTCTCCAGTGTGGATCCTTTTATGCGAATTCAGATGAGATCTCTGAGCAAAGCTTTTTTCACACTCTGTGCATTTATATGGTCTCTCCCCAGTGTGGATCCTTTTATGACGAATAAGACTATTGCTCCAGTTAAACCTTTTTCCACACTCCATGCACTTGTATGGTTTCTCCCCAGTGTGGATCCTTTCATGATGTATTAGAACTCTGCTATAACTAAACCTTTTCCCACATTCTAAGCATTTATATGGTCTCTCCCCAGTGTGGATCCTTTTATGAGAATTAAGATGAGCTGTTTGAGTGAAGCTTTTTCCACACTTCAAGCATTTATACGGTCTCTCCCCAGTGTGGATCCTTTCATGACGAATAAGATTATTTCTACAGTTGAAGCTTTTTCCACACTCCAAGCATTTATATGGTTTTTCCCCCTTGTGTATCTTTTGGTGGAAAGTAAGGTGCCAGCTTTCAATAAACCTCTTTCCACATTCCATGCATTTATATGGTCTCTCCCCAGAGTGGATCTTTTTATGAGAATTAAGTTTTCCTTTCTGAATGAAGCTCTTTCCACACTCCATGCATTTATATGGTTTCTCCCCAGTGTGGATCCTTTCATGACGAATAAGACCTTTGCTCCAGTTAAAGCTTTTCCCACACTCCATGCATTTATACGGTCTCTCCCCAGTGTGGATTTTTTTATGAGAATTAAGTTTTCCTTTCTGAGGGAAGCTTTTTCCACACTCCATGCATTTGTATGGTCTCTCCCCAGTGTGGATCTTTTTATGAGAATTAAGTGTTCCTTTCTGAGTGAAGCTCTTCCCACATTCCAGGCAGATATATGGTCTGTGCCCTGTGTGGATTTTTTTAGCACAAATCATCTGTGTTTTCTGACAAAAGCTTTTTTCACGTTCTGGACATTTACATAGCTTCTCATCTATGTGGCTCCCTTGATGGCAGTGAAGTTTACTCTTGCTACTGAAGCTCTTTCCACAGTTCATGCATAGTTTCATCTTTTTGCTTAGACTGAAATCCCTGTCATGTTTTACAGTCCTTTGAGGTTTATGTTCCCTATTCAATATATTAGGTATAGTAAAAGAGAAGGAATGGCTCTCTGCAGATACTCCTCTTTGCCGTTTCAATAACCTCTGCTGCTTGTCCTTCTTATTCTCTAGCCCATTCCAATCACAATCACCTGCTTAGAACAAAAGAAAACATAAATTCTCATTAGAACTTATAAGGATGGAAAAGGGGGGGTGTCTCTCCAATGAAAAATATGCCCATCAGGTTTGGCACCAGTAATGTGTCAGCTAGGAGATGGTGGGTGCAAATTGTTATTCAGGTGACTCTAAGGGTATCCAATGGATTTTTCAGCCCTGAACCAGATTAAGGTTTTGCTGTTAATAGGTCAAGCTGCCCAGGCATTTCCATGGAGCACCTAAGGCCTTTCACAAAGCCATGGTGAGCATTTCTGCCAAGGCCTTTGTTGTGTTCTAGAAGAGTTGCTGTGATGACAACCTTGGACAAAATTGCCCATGAAGTGCCTCGACTAGTTTGTCATACAGGGGCCCCTGGCAGTTAAAGGGGGTCTCAAAAAGGTGGCAGTGGCTCCTCAATGGATATTAGTTACCCTCTAACCAGTCTGACTATGATTTTCCTGAGGTTAGAAAGGTTTTACAGGTTATGCAATTTAGTCCAGCTATGCTTCCCATTTATCTCCTATTGAAAACACCTTTCCCAATGAATGGCACCCAAAGAAAAAGGGGTCCTTACTTAGTGAAGCTACATTTGTAGAAACATCCAGCATGACTTCCCTGCACAAGGCTTTCTGGCCAGAATTCAGCAGTGCCCACTCCTCCTCTGTGAATTCCATAGCCACCTCTTCAAAGGGAACACTGCTCTGGAAAGGAAATATCATCTTCATTAGTACATAATCCTCTTTTATGGTTTCTTTCTTATTTCCAAACAGAAAATGGAGCTTTCCAAGAAATCAAATGGACACTTTCTTATAGGACAGGCATAAGTTATGCAGCTCACAACATCCTTAAAGCTGGGAAGACACCCTCCACCTCCTTCATGCTGCTGTTGTAAACATGGCTTAGATATATCCAAATGATACTCCCTGGAGTCATATCCCACCCCCCCAGCCTGGAATAACTCACAAGGAGGTTTTGGGCAGAGTATCATCTCCCTGGCTCAGCAAAATACAAATTTGTTACAAAACAGAGTATACCTACTAAGAATTTTTTACCTGGTCTGTTTCAAAATGTTGTAAATGACTCTGGAAATATAAACGCACTTGATCAACAGTCTTATCTGTCAGCTTTAGGGATTTTTATGTGAGAAATTTGTCCTTCCCATAAATTACTTTTAAGTGGATATATTGGTCTATATGTGGGATTGATATTGTTTCGCTTTATGGGTTCTACTTTATAACTGCTTTTCCAACATATTTAGAAAAATGTTAAGAAAGATTAAAGTTTTCCAATATATAAATTAAACTTCCTAATACAAGACTCTTGAGAATTATCCTTTGTTTTTCCCCCCAGAACAATTTTGAAAGTTAAATGAGACTCACTGGAACATTCTTTGGAGACACCAGGTTCAAATGCACACAGACTCAGCATTTAGTTTTCAAAGTGGCTCAGAGTTTGAACTTTTCACAAGAAACCCACTTACCTGGCAAGATGTCCCCAGTTGGATCCTCCTGGAAAAAAGCTCTCCTGAATTACTTGATTGATCTCGTCCCTGGTGCTCTGCTGAGATTTCCCCCATATATGGCTCCTGCAACTGAAATAATAGCCTGCTTTATGATCCACTTACAAATGACTGTAACCATGTTAGCTCTCTTGCATTACTTTTTTTCTCTCCAATTGTAGTTTTGCAAGTCAAAATGGGAGAACTTGAGAACTCCTGCTTTGTGGGTTGCTGTTATTTCTGGATAAACGCCTGCCATTTTTGTGAAATATTTCATTGCTTCTTTATTTCCTATTTTCCTTCGAGGTAGCCCAGATAAGAACCACAACAATGAAGATTAGCTCTATCTTCAGTATAAAGCAAGGGTCTTCAAACTTCTCAAGTTTAAGACTTGTGGACTTCAACTCTCAGAATTCCTGAGCTAACTGGAGGAGGAAGTGTGGGTGTTGAAGTCCACAGGTCTTAAAGCTGTCAAGTTTCAAGACCCCAGGTATAAAGTCACATTAATAGAATATTTCAATTCCCAAAATAGTTTTTCCCATCCTCTCCTTTTAAGTATAGTA